CAGTGGTGACTGACCCTGCAAGGTGTGCTTTGCCCACTGTGAGGGAGGTAATGTACTGATTTTACAGCAGCTGACAGGATTGCACTGGTATAATGATGAGGCCTGTGAAAGCAGCTGAAACTGTCACATTGTCCATGGGAAGAAAAAACTTAAGCATCCTCTTGATTCTGATACCCTTGTCCCTTACAGCGGCAATCGTTAATGAGCTGCACCTTAAAATCCGTTGTGCTGCTCACATTTCTGAATTGCATTTTTTTTCATGTGTTTGTACACTAGTCATGATTTGAAGCAGCTTGTTTTCGGATTTACATAAGATTTTAGTTTTTAAAGAGGTTACAGAGGTCCTCCTGTGTTCTGTTTTTCGGTTTCATCCCTCTTTCTCCAGATCTCTGCTCCATATTTCCAGGAGTAAAGTTGTTATCCCATCCCCTCCTCCCCTCAAAGTCCAGTTCCTTTAGACTAGTAACACCCTCATACCCTGTATCCCATCTTTATCCTTGACTTGTGGATATTTCCTTCCTTACAGCTGTAAATCACGCTTTAAAACTTTTATCCCCCACTGCCCACAGATCATTCCACGTTCTGCAGTGTATTATTACTGAATCTATAAATAAGGGAATAAATCATTGGTTTCTGACTTGCAAAGAATATGCCACGGCATATGAAAATACATCAATTTTTAATTCATTTCTGAAGGTGACCCAGAAGCAAATGATCACCATAGAAATACACATATAATACAGTCCCCTGATGAAGAATTATATTTTAAGAGCATCTGCAGGATTTATGATTTCATATTTATAATCTGCATATGGTTCATATTTGTTTTGGATTTAATATGCTGTAATTTCGTAGTCATGTAAATAAATTCAGTGGGAACTGCTGCCATCTCCTGGTCAACAGCTAAACTAAACACAGAGCTCAAAAATGCAAGCTGATATTTAAGTGAGATTTTCAAGGTCTTCATTTGTAAAGCTAAGCTTAAAATTCCCCAACTCTTCAGCTTTCAATATAGAACCATAGATATTTGACAGGTTGGTGTTTGAGGTCAGATTCTTTTGAATTTAATGTGAAAGAATGGCTCTACCTAATTATTATTATTTAGTTTTAGTATAACAGGTTTCAGTAGAAACATTAAAGCAGACACCTTACCTCTAAATATATACACTTATAAATTTTGAAACTGGATCTTTTTATTTTCCTTTGCAGTTGCAAAATGAAAGCAATCTGATGGTAGGACCTTTCACAAGTGAGCTTATGGCCTATAGTAATTTCTCTTTCCTTCTTCCCCTATCAATGGACTTATTCCCTTTATTTCCTTCTACCAACATTTGTGTTTAAAGAAAAGTTGGCAGGATCTGCTTAATCACTGAGATATAGCTGGAGTATGAACTTGACCTTCCTTGTCAATCTGTGCTCCTTGTTTGCAATAGTGATTTTTTTGGCTTTTAGTGAATTCCTCCACTGCATGAATGTCACAAGAAAAATATATTTCTTAGTTGTGTGCTTTCAAGTGTGCCTAAAATGTCTCAAAACTCAGAAAAAACCGTATGAGACAGGCATGTTTTAGTGTTTTCCTTAAAACCTGTAGTGATAGCAAATCATGCAAAACCAAGACACCCCTCCCTATTTCTGTTTTTCTTTTGATTAGGTTTATTTCATTCTCAATACAGAATGTGGAAACACCTCATAAAATGTCACAGTTCTTATGCTAATTTTGTTTCCACGTAGCTTGTTTTAAGCTGTGCTGTATGCAGGTGAATGTGTGCAGGGTTTCAGTGATAGCACTGCTATCAATCTTTAATTTCTTGTTCCTGTGAACTTTAACAAGTTTGGTTTTTACACTTATTGTTGCAGTGGTATTTAATGCCTTCCTTTGCAGCATAGTTAGGCTCACTAATTTTTAATGTTAAGGGGTTTATTGACTTATGCACGAAATGAGAGGAAAAGCTTTGCAATGGCTCTTTGTAGTATTGTTTTTAAATTCAGGAGTTAATGAGATACATTCTATTGCCAAGTTCAGATAAAACATTCACTTCTGTCTGGTCACTCTGAAACACTTAAGAGAGACTCTGCACCAGGGGAAGTAACCAAAGGAAGTGCAAACTCCCTTGGAATGCTTAGTTGCTTTTCGAAGTGCTGGTGCAAAGGTGCACAAGCTAAACAATTTTTATGATTGAATCCCGTGAAAAAAACTGAACTGGTCAGACAGCCACAAACTGCACTATTTTATGTTTTTAAATTTAGCTGTATGACTGGAAAAATAGCTGATAATATAAATAGTGGGCTGAGGGTAAAGATTAAACTTATGTGAAGAAGAGAGGAGAAAAAGGAAAGAGCAAGATGTGAACTTGATGAAATGAAGAACTGAGTTAGGACAGAGTGGCCTTGTGGTATTTTGACCTTAACCCCACTGAGCAACTAAAAATGATTTCTGTGGTGACAGGAGAGGATTTGAGGAATAACTAAAGGGAGGCTATACAGTTTTGCACAAACACAGAGCTGTCTTTCTCCAGACAAGTTAAGGCAGATCAGTATGTTGCTCAATAGATGCGTAATGGTTTTTATTATGAAAATATTGATGTAAACAGCTAAATGAAACCCATGAAGAATTAATATTATTTAATTAAAATTTTTACTTTAAGAACCAATACCAGCCTGACTATCTCAGCTTAGTCATGTGAGTTTTTTGTCTCTGGACGCATCATCCATTTAAACTCTACGATCTAAGAGGTCTTTTCCAACTCATATCATTCTATGACTCTTCCCCTGCAGCTGATGTTTGATCACTTAAAGACACAAAAGATTTCATGGTGTGTGTTTGTGAGGGTCAAGATGGTGGCACTGAAGCCAGTTACAGAGAAAAATACCTAAGAAATTTAGTCTTTTCCTTTCTGAGAAGAGGTTCTGTGGCAGGACACCTGCAATGGGGCATCCTGCCCAGGCCAGCCCATGGATACAGCAGGATACAGAAATAAATAATGTGACTGCAAGGAAATTAGGCTCAGAAGCAGCATGTATTTCCAGTATAAGGCTATACTGGAAACAAGTGGCCCCACTTTCGGGCCCTGATAAAGTAGCTGTGATGTGCTGCCACCATCTCATGTAGCCATGCTGGGGCTGCTCCAAATTAGATAACCCATCTCTGCATTTCATTTCTTTGGATCTTAATGTGCCTCAAAGTAATTTCTAAGACAAAGAAGGGAATTACCGACTCAAAAAGGCCAATTATATATAGTGGAATGTAACACTTGTAGTTGGTGTAGCTATGCTGCAGAAAGTGTCTTTAGCTGTGTACAGAACTTTCAAATTTAATGTTTTAATTAAATAAAACTTTTAATTATTTTCTTAGATAAAGATTTTAATTACACACATCTGAATACGCCTTCTTGGCTCTGCTGGGCATCTTAAAGAAGCTGTTTTCTGACACAAAAACCACTTCTCTCCAAAGAACTGCCATTGCATTGAAATGTGCAGCAGGTGAAGGAAATAATTATTTAATCAAATATGCAGCTAAGGCTTCCGGTGCCCAAACCCCCCAAACAATCTGTAGCTGAGGAGCTAATTGTATTTACATTCTACAAACAGATTTGCAAGAAATTAAATTATTAAAAAGCTTACAGGTATGTAGGTAAGTTTTGATTTCCTTCCACTGGAGGGAAATCCTGCAAACTTAAAGGAATTTGAGGTATTTGTGACGATTATGATTTTAACCTGTAGTTTTTAACCTTCTTTTCAGTAACACTTGAAGACATCTTGTATGATTAGTCTTGCATTTGCACGCCCTGTGGTGGTGTGCATAATTGACTAATGATGTCTGTAATTTGCCTGTGTGATTAATTCATTTGAAGCTATAAATATTCTGTATTAAATTATGCAGAAAGTCAGCAAGTTTTTAACTGATTTATTGAAATGAAAAATGATTTGTTTCTTTTCTGTTCCCTAAACAAACTGAGAACAAGAAGAAATCAAATGGTATTTTAATGGCAAAAAACCCCCAAACAAACCAATTGTAAATAATTTAAGTGCACACTTTTCCTGTAATGAGAATGGAAGAAGGTTTTCTTTTATTGCTGATTTAAAAAAAAAAATCTATTTACATTTTCACAAAATCATCTCATTAGTTTATGTTCAAGTCTTTTGTGAACCCAACAGAAAACAAGTCTATTGGAATTTGCATTGGGTGTTTTCATGAGTTCTGTATGAAACAAGCAAGATAAACTGTGGTTTTTTTTTTTTTTTTTTTTTTACTTTTACATGAAATTAAGTCTTTATTTTTTCATTCTGAGAAAGAGAAATCTCTGAAAAATGTTAATGTTGAGAATATTAGTTCATGAAACAAAGTTTTTCATTGTTTATAGAGTAAACTGAAGTGTTTTATTTGCCTGGTTTGGCTTGAGCTTACCAAAGCAGCTTACTTGCATGTAGAGGCTAAAGTTTAGTAGGATGACTTTATTTTACATAACTTCAGTGATTACAGGATCTAGCAGAACCTGTGAATATTCTGGGCAATTTGTGGGGGAGCAGGGAAAAAGAAAATGATTTATAAATTTCTTTGTTCTTTTAACATTTAAACAGTTGAGAAGACAAGTCCTGTTGTGACAACTTTGAAGAGGTGCAGAGACTAATGAACTAACATCAGGAAGGAAAAGTTGGCCTGATTAAGTCTTAAATATTTTCCTGTTGTTCCTCACTGTGCTCAGTCACATAGTGTCTCATCCTTGAAGTGCATTAAGACAGGGCCCTTTGATACTTGTGCTGATTTTTCTCTAGGAAATTTGGGACTATTCTGCTGCTACAGCCAAAAGGGCTCAAATCTGTAGTAATTTTTATCACAAGCATCATTTGCATGCACAGGTTTATGCAGACTCTCGTGTTTCAGTTCCTTAACTTTTTGAAACCTCTGTGGTTACCAGTAGGAATGAGACTTTGCACTCAGTATGGCCTTATCTTTTGTTAATAGAACTGTATTTTCAGTATTGGGTATCTACTGCTTTGAGTCTTCCAAGGGACAAAAAGTAGTGAAAGCAGTACTGAAGTTGAGAATTCAGGTGTTTAGAGTGACATTTCTCAGGAACCATGTATGTCCCCGTGATGAGAATGTCAAGAATGTCGCTTTGCCTGTGGCCTTGGAAATATTTCAGTGACCAAACCATGGGGATGCTGGGGCTGACTGCCAGCAGACTGTACAGTGTGAGGACTGAGAACTCCAGACTGACATCTGGAGGACTGAGTAAGTCTTTGGGTGAGGATGGCAACAAAATCAGGAATAAGCAGACAAGATTCTTCTGGTATCTGAAATGTAAAGAAGTCAAGAACAATAACATAGGTGTGAGTTCTCCCCTATTTGCATGTAGCTTCCAGATTTCAAACAAAGTGGTTTTGAAGATATCTTTGGACTAACTGAACCGTGATGGGGAGAGGCAGGAAGGAGAGGTAATGGGTGTTGCTAGAGTTACTATAGAACTACCTGGGAACTACCTGTATTATGGCTGGATATTGAAGGATAATTCAGCTGTGGGAGATTTCTGTCTGTACATATTAGATACTATATTTGAACATGCAATTTATAAAAAGATTGGCTAATCTTTGAAAATACAAACTGGAAAAAATTATCCTCTGAACTATATCAAAGCTCATGATGTTTGCCATAAAGCTTTCAGGTTAAGCCACTAGTGAACATGTTAAATGAATGGCGCTATTAGGAGCTGGAAAAGTATGACATTAGAAATATTACACTGCTAATTGGCACTGCTTTTACAGACCTTAATATTGCTACTTTAAGTTCTCATTGTTCACTTAACAGTTACATTAAAAATCTCTTGATGAATGGCTTTTTACCCAGAATTGTCAGATTCAACTTTGACAATTCATTTAATTTAATGGGTTGGCGATACAGATAGGTTAACTCTGGAATGAAAGGGTCATGCTGAGGGGTGTCTGCAACAGAAAACAAAGTAATCCCTTGCATCTCTGACAAAATGAGTCAGAAGATTGTTCATATCTATGGATATAGTTGTCAGGAAAAACAAACTGTAGGATCCAGGTCATCTGTATTGTCCATTAAATATTGAAATATTTTATTTAAGGTAGAAGAAGCCATGGTTACACAGTAAATTGAAAGTAAATTAAAGTATACAGTCTTAAAAAGAAAGCACTTCCAAAAATTTGGAAAGACTAGTTTAAATCTTCAGATACTTCATTAACAAGTGTAAAATTCATGTTGTGTTCCTAACTATGTAACCCAATAAATAATCATGAAACTAAATCAGTAATCTGTCATATATTGAATGACAATTCTATATAGTGTGATCCCATCATAAACTAAAGAGAGAAAAGCACTCTGTCAAATCAACCTATAATGGAAAATCTAATTATACTTTTCTGTAGTGACAGCCTAGCTGCTTGTAAACTAACTACAGTAATATCACTCTCCTTCCTAAAACATAACTTTTAACAGATGTAGAACATACAGATGGACAGGATACAGCAGTGTATTGGGAAATGACTGGGTAGAGGGTGATGCTGTGAGTACTGTACCTGTCACTGAGAAAGGTTATAACAGGATGCTGGATCAGCCCCCTTAGAGCTCCCTTGTGGTGGCAGGGGGAAGTATCCCCTCTTGCCATGCTCGTGCTCCTCCTCACTGTAGAAATGCATTTAACCCCTGTGATGTTTCAGAAAAACAGGTTTACTTTATTGTACTTAGTAAGTCTGCAGGGGTGGAGCACAGTGTAACCCCAGAAAGCCCTGATTACAAGGGACATTGGCGATCTTTATTTTGTTTCCTCTTATTTTTTCACTTTTTCATCACCTTTGTATTTCCTGTCTCTGTCCTTCTTCCAGTTAACCTATCCATAATTACTTTTCCCTCCTTGATGCCAACTTTAGTAAATCCATACCCAAATTTGCTGTTTCCTTCAGGTGATCTTGGCCTTATGGTAGCACTGAACTGATGGTCTAGGTACTGTTGGCCATGGAGGGCAACTTCATCTTCTCCCATGTTTGCACTTGGGTTATCTGTGCAGTTTGTTTCTCATGTAAGAACACAATAACTATCTATGAAGGCCAGCAACCCCTTCTGTTGTTGTCTGTAACTTGTGTCAGCTGCTTACCCTGTGAGCTGTCATGTGAGCAAGCTGCCTTACGCCGTGCCCAGCAACTTCTCACACCCTGCCTGTTCAGGTCTCAGCAGCAGCCCAGTCACCTGCAGGCAGCCCTGACACGATGTCTTGGCCAGTGTGACAATATCTACTGCATCATCTGATTTGATAGCATCATGAAGGATCCGCTTGGTTTGTAGGTGAGGGTATTGTTGATTTTATTATATATACACGTGCTAGAATATCCTGGAAAGAGTTTGGGAGAGACCATAGCATTTGGTTTGCATGGTCAAAGCCCGGAGTGTGCAACAGGACCCCATCCTGCAGCAGAAGCCAGTGTGCTGTGCAGCAGCAGTGTCTGTGTTGTGTGACTGTTCTCTGCTGTCCTCTCCCCTCCGACCTTCCTGGGGGCAATTCAGGCTTTGAGCTTTGGCTCCATGCTGTGGGGAAGTTCCCCGAAGGGGTAGAGGACCAAGTATCTGAAAGGCGAGTTCTGCTCAGACAAGAAGACAGAAAAGCCCAAAATATCCGTGGTCCCCATCGCAGATTCTATTCTTGAAAGGCAACAAGCCCCTCAGCAGTGGAGTCTGACATGGGGCTTCAGGCAGCTCACTATTTTTATCTCCAGTGCTGGGTTTATGACAGACTGGAGTTTTCTAAGATGTCTTTGACTTTTTGGGAACTGGGTGTCATCTGTCAAAACTTGGGCACTGAAGTTTTTGAGAATTTCTCCGTAGGAAGTCAATGTCCCTGCCTGTTCCATCTCAGTACAAGAGCTGCAGTAGGCTGACCATACTGACATGTGGTCAACTCGGAGTAAAGCCGTGTAATGATGCTGTGCCTACCATCGTTGTCTTCCTCCCTGGAATGTTATTCCTGTTTGCTAATTATTTTAGTATTGTTTGTTGCTTTAAAAGAGTCCCTTGAATCCCATTTTTGGGGGCCTTGACTGCTCGTATCTGCTTCTAAATTTTAACCCAAAAGGAAAAATAAAATTATATTTAATAAAGAAATATTTTAAAGTATCATGCATGTGAAGATTTTGAATATCAATGCATGGAGTAGTGAAGGATTATTATTTATTCTGCATCTCAGAAGCAATTAACTAAATGGTTTGGCATCTTCTTAATGTATTGCCTTTGTCTTTAAGGTGTGTATTTTAACGTTTGAGTACGTTGCATCCCACTCTTCAGGAACAGACAATAGATACATAGGTTACAGGAGATTTTGGGAACATTTGAGAGTGGTAGAATTTAAATTTTAGTTGATGATCTTCAATTTTTACTCTGTCTTCAAGAGATCTCTTATGAAGCCTGAAAAGGAACATTGTTTCCCAGAAGTGCTGTGAGTTCAGAGTTCAGGAGGATTAAAGAATCAGGTCATGATTAAAAATTATCATACATGATTAAGAACAGTTTTTTGGTGGTAATGTTTCTTCAGAGGTACTGAAATATTTAGTGATTTCATCTTTTGTTAACTTCATTTCAGAAGGGAAAACCTGGGAGATGTTTTATTTTGAAGTGGTGGTCCTTTCTGTTGTGATTACATTTTATATATGTGCACACATATATGTATGTAAATTCATCTATGTATATACACAGATTTCAGAGTATGCCTGCTAGAAATACGATGAAAATTAACAGGCAAGTGTGTAAGAATGTCAGTGGGTGGCCAAAGCACCAAAGAAACAGTTTTCTAGAGAGTTAGATGGGAAAATGCTTCCTCATTTTTTGAAGTGTAGGAAAATGTCCACAGCTCCAAGCAGAGATGTCATGGTAATTTTCTGTTGCCTTCTTATGCACTTGTGCTAAGATAATTTTGTTTAATAGCTCTAAAAATTAGATGTATCAGAACAATTTTAAAATATCATCCTGATCATTTGTAATTTAAAACTAAAACAGCAACAAACACCCCACCCTTCCAACCCATTTATGGGGGGGAAAAAATGCAGATGCTGTAGATAAATTAGATGAATATTGGAATTACTAATATTCAAAGATGATAGAAAGAACGGGCTTTCTTTCTCTGGAAAGATTCACGTGTATGCTAAAGATCAGAAACTCTGAGGGACTTAATTTTAGAAGGATGCTGACTGTGTTGCTGTTAAAAGCATGTCATCCACCATGACAGCTTATCAGTTAAAGCATCTGTATGAAACAAAGGTGATGAAACCTGAATCTAAATGCAATAAGGATTTCTCTGCGTAAGGGTTGATCATTAGAAACGAAGACTTCACAGTAGTCGCTTATACTTTATCGTCATGAAAGGTTCTGTAAAAAAAAGTACTATGTAATTTTAGTGAAGAAGATGAGTGAATAAGAATTCTACTGTGGAATCCATGAAGACTAATTCCATTTATTTATGAAAGAAGAAAAACAGCAGACGTATTTTAGAACAACTTTGTTGGAGCTAAACTCTTGTTTCTTTAGTTCAGGCACAGTGCAGTTCTATATATGTATATGAATATCCTTAGTTGCTTGAGAATCTAAAGTGGTGGAAGTTGGGGAAATTGATTTTTTTCTATTTGTTATTATCTCTTAGAAAATATAAATTTAAAGAAGTAAAATAAAAAATGAGGTAACTCATGCGGAAGAGAGACCTCTTTTTTTAATCTGAGAAAAAGGTCCCAGAAGAATTCAGGCTGAGACAAGGGTAGAGTTTAAGAAAACAACCTTAAGGGTCTAAGTCCGTTGTATATTAAATTCATAGAATTTAGAATTAATTCGAACTAAATGTGGAAAAACATGGAAATATAGGAAACTAACTTTAACCTTTATTAATACTTTATGGTAATTGTGCAACTTGGCAATCTCTCATCTTAGATGAGATGGATTTAAGAAAGATACAGCCCACTTTTTAAAAGATATCCCTCATGGTCTGTCTTTTTACTACATGTATTTTCCTACTGAAATGGCCTTTAGGCATTGCAGAAGTGCAAATAATTAATAACTAACATTACTAAAATATGAGGCAAAGAAGTGTCTGTCATACAGTTAATTTTTTTTGCAAACCATAATTACAAGATTTTAACACTGATTGTAATTACTTGAACATATGGTGAGAAATAGGTAATGAAACTGGTTTTTAATTGTGGTATAATGAGTTTCTGGATGTTCAATACTATTTCCACTGGGATACCAAGAATTTAAAAAGTGAGATGAGAGAAAG